GGGGGGGGCGACCCATCCCCCACCAATCAATCAATCAATCAATCAATCAATCAAAAAAAAAAAACATTAAAAAAAAAAGAAAAAAACCGATTTCGAACACCGCGCAAGTAAGTGTGTGTGTGTGTGTGTGTGTGTTTGTGTGTGTGTGTGATTGGGTGGGGGTGGAGAGGGCGACCCATCCCCCACCAATCAATCAATCAATCTATCCATCAATCAATCAATCAATCAATCAAAAAAAAAAAAAAAAGCAAAACAAAAAACGGAAAAGGCCGCTTTCAAACCCGGCGTAAGTAAGTGTGTGTGTGTGTGTGTGTGTGTGTTCTGTGTGATTGGGTGGGGGTGGCGGGGGCGACCCATCCCCCACCAATCAATCATTCAATGAAAAAAAAAATAAAAATCGATGTGTTTTGAGTCTGGCTAGGTTTTTGAGTTTTTTGAAATAATTTAAATGCTCCAAAAATAAAAATAAAAATATGGGGATGTAGAGCGCAAAAATATCTGCACCCTCTTTTTTTTTTTTTTTCCTGCGAAAAAAGTTTTTGCGGGCCAAGTTGTACCGCGTTCTAACACGGTATAGCGCGGCGTTGTAACGGGGATTCAACGGTCGTTGAACCTTTCAATGGGAAACCCCTGTTGAATCGAAAATCAGACACACGGTCCAGGGTGCTATGAAACCGTTTGAGCGCGCTCGCTTATAGACCCCCTCCCCCACGCTCAAACGCGCTCAAAGCATTTTAAGGCGCGCGCGGTCGTAAAAAAAAGCGCACGCACGTCACGGGGTTGCGCGAGGGCAGGGGATGTCGTTGGGGCGGTTGCGCAGAAAAGAAAAGTTGGGTGGCTGGGGGTGATGTTTTTTGTTGGGGGGGGGCTGGGTGGGAAGGTGGTGGCTCTCTCTCTCTCTCTCTCTCTCTCTCTCTCTCTCTCTCTCTTAGTGTCTCTCTCTCTCTCTCTCTTTCTCTCTCTCTCTCCTTGTGGGTGTGTGTGTGTGTGTGTGTTTGTGTGTGTGCGTGTGTGTGTGTGTGAGTGTGTGTGTGTGTGTGTGTTCATGTATGTCTGTGTGTGTGTGTTCATGTATGTCTGTGTGCGTGTGTTTGTGTGTGTGTGTGTTTGTGTGTGTTTGTGCGTGTGTGCGTGTGTGTGTGTGTAAGTGCGCGCGCGCGCGTACGCATGTATGTGTGTGTGTGCGTGTCACAACGTGTGCAGGTGGGGGGGGGGGGGATTGACGCCGAATTTGGCGGGAGTCTGTGA